AGTCAATGACAATGGAGATTTCTGCTTCCAGCTAAGATGCAGTAACTGGGACTGGATTTACCCTACTGCTTGAAACAAGCAAAATATCTGACAAAATATATTCAAGACACTGGATACCAGGCAATAAAGAACAGCGATCCCTGAGAGAAATGAAACAAACAAGGTGAGCCCTACTGTTACCCCAGCCTGGAGAGTTTCTAGGCTGCAGCACAGACAGAGGTAACCCAAATGGAGCCCAGCAGACCACCTGAGTTGAGGAGATGGAACCGAGAGTCTGGGGAGACCAAAGCAGCCAGAGTTGGCAGATCATAACACTGGAGCAGAAAGAGCTGTATAAAGACAGAACTCCAGACATCTGCAGACTGCCTTTTAGCACAGTATTTATCACTGCATGCATGTGAGGAAAGTATCCGAGGCTGGGAAAAGAACCATCCAAAAAGATTAGAGAAAAGGTAAGCAGTGTTCACTCAGGCCAGGAATGGTGCTCTTCCTACCAGCCAGAATAGAAAACTTCTAAATTCATGAAGCACTGGGAAGGGTCTTTCTTCAGAAGTGGGAATTAATTTGTTGTTTTCACCTAACAAATTTTAAAAGCAAGATCCAAAAGCATCAGCTTTTTCCAAACAACTCAACTGTGTCCCAGAACGAAGCTCAAGAATATTTATAGAAATACAAAAATAGTCAGCATCCAATAAGGTAGAATTCACAACATGTGGCCTCTAATAAAAAACATCACAAATGGGCAAAGGACTTAAATAGACATTTCACCAAAGAGGGCACTCGAATGGCCACCAAACACATGAAAAGATCCTCAACATCGTTAGTCATCAGAGAGACGTAAATCAAATCTAAAATGAGATACCATTTCACTCCCACTAAGTTGCCTAATAAAAAAGGAAAAGATAGGGGGACCTCATACCACCAAGAAAGCAGTTCTGGGAGCAGGGCGTGTCCTTTGGACCTGAGGTTCCTGCGCTGAGACGCTCCCAGACCAAGGGACGACTGATGCATCACAAGGACCTTCCTCCAGAGCTGAAAGAGAAAAAGCCTTCTCCTGGAGCCAATGCCCTAACTTTGGACTTATAGCCTACTGAGCTGTGAGAGAATAAATTTCCCATTGTTAAAGCCATCCACTCGTGGTATTTCTGTTAGAGCAGCACTAGGTGACTAAGACAGAATTTGGTACCAGGAGTGGTGTGCTGCTCTAACAGATACCTAAAATGTGGAAGCAGTTTTGAAACTGTGACTCAACAGAGGAGCAACAGTGGCAGAGGACCAGCAACAGCAGAGAACCTGCAGCAGCAGAGAAGCGGCAGCTAAGCAGCAGTGGCAGAGAACCAACAGCAGCAGAATCAGGACACCAGCTTGAGATGGCGCTGGAGCCAACCACGGAGCGAGAGAACTGAGTGCCTGTGCGCAGGAGGCTTCCTGGTGGAGTGGGGTGCCTCTGGTCACTTAGCAGTGGAGCTACAGAGCTTTGGAACACTTGCCCCAGCAGGGCAGATGTAAGCACTGAGGCCTGAGGGCTGAGAGGCCATAGGAAACAGAAGCAGAAGCTGAAGAGACAAGGGACACAAGAAGTCAAGCCACCTCAGTCTCAAAAGGTATGGCCATGACCTCTGGGGTTTCAAAGAGTGGAGCCATGGCCTCTGGTGCTTCTAAGGGTGGAGTCGCCACTCAGATGGACTGGGAGAATGGTGCACCTAAAGCCAAGGAAGCAGAGCTGCTGTTCCGGTGGGACTGGAAGGCGGAGCTAAAGCCCAGGACCAAGCGGTCTCCACTCAGAATCCGGAGACTGTGGCCAATACCTAGAGTCTGGAGGGTAGGGCTATTGTGTAAATTGTCTCAGAGAACAGAAGATGATTTTCAAAGCCTTGAGGGCTAATGTGATGTGTTCTGCTGACTTGCTTGGTGCCTGTTATCCCTTCTTTTCCTCTAGTTTCTCCCATTTGTAATGGAAATGTCTAGCTTGTGCCTGTTCTGCCACTGTACCTCTGGAAGCAAGTAACTTGTATTCTAGATTTCACAGATGAAGAGGAATTTTTGGATTTTGGACTTGGAGTTAAGACTTTTGCTATGATATGATGGGATGAATATGTTTTGCATGTTGCAAGGATGTGATTTTGGAGGGGCCAAAGGGTGGAATGTCGTGGTTTGAATTATGTCCCCCAAAAATGTGTGTATCAATTTGGCTGGGCCATGATTCCCAGAATTGTGTGGTTGGCCTCCATTTTGTGATTGTAATTTTATGTTAAAGAGGATTAGGGTGGGATTGTAACATCACCCTTACCCAGGTCACATCCCTGATCCAATGTAAAGGGAGTTTCCCTAGGATGTGGCCTGCACCATCTTTTACCTTACAAAAGATAAAAGGAAAGGGAAGCAAGCAGAGAATTGGGGACCTCATACCACCAAGAAAGCAGTTCTGGGAGCAGAGTGCGTCCTTTGGACCTGAGGTTCCTGTGCTGAGATGCTCTCAGACCAAGGGACGACTGATGCATCACAAGGACCTTCCTCCAGAGCCGAAAGAGAGAGAAAGCCTTCCCTGGAGCTGATGCCCTGAATTTGGACTTGCAGGCTATTGAACTGTGAGAGAATAAATTTCTCTTTGTTAAAGCCAAAAAAAAGGAAAAGATATAATAAATGTTGGCGAGGATGCAGGGAAATTCGAACCTTTATCCATTGCTGATGGGAGTGCAAAATGGTAGGAGCCACTATGAAAAACAGTGTGGTGGTTCCTCAAAAAACTAAAAATAGAACTACCATATGACTCAGTTAATTCCGCTCCTAGGTATATACCCAAAAGACTTGAAACCAGAGACTCAAGCAGATACTTGTACACCAATGTTCACTGCAGCACTATTCACAATAGCCAGACAGTGAAAACAACAAAAATACCCATCAACAGATGAATGGATAAAAAAATAATGTGGTACATACATACAGTGGAATACTACTCAGCCAGTAAAAGAAATGAAGTCTTGATATATGCTACGAATATGAGTGGAGCTTGAAGACATTACGCTGAGTGAAATAAGTCAATCACAAAAGGACAAATATTATACGACATCACAAATACAAAAAGACAAGAAAAGGCAAATGTACAGAGACCAAAGTTTATTAGTGGTTACCAGGGGCAGGAGGGAGTGAGAAAAAGGGGGTTAATAGCGATGGAAAAATCACATTGATAAAGGGTAGGGGTGCATAGCCAATCACTGTAACTGCTGTAAGTTACACCTGTAAAAAGTTGAACTGGCAAAAGTTGTGTGACAGATACATTTACAACAATGACAAAATAAATAAATAAAAGTAGCTGCTGAAGCTGCTTATGTATAACCAAACACCTCATGGGATTTGATTTGCTAGTTTGGAGGTTTAGGGTCATGGTTTCATGGGACATCCCAGTTAATAGGCCTAATAACGTGTTTACTGCTTCTGTTCTACCTCCTAGTTCACTGCACACTGCCTAGGTCTTAAACGCTTGCAAGCAGCCATCCAAGGCACAACAATTGGTCTCTGTTTGCCTGGAGCAACAGAGGAAGAAGGAGAGTCATGAATAAAAGGAGGATATGGAATGTGTGGCTAACTGCCTCCATGAACAACTGCGTCCTTCGCCAAAATACCAGAACTGGATGGTACCCAACTACCATTACTGAACATTTTGAGCAAAGATTCTATAGAGGAATCCTGATCAAAGAAGGGGAAATGCAGAACAGAATTTCAAATTCTCACAGACTCCAGACTTTCTGGAGTCATGGAGGCTGGATGAACCCCTATACTGCCCTGAGATAATCTTTAATCCTTAAACGAAAAATATCCCCTGAAGTCTTTTTAAAACAAAACAGCAGTTCAGCTTAAATAATAAAAAATGTCTACGTTGTGTATCATGCTCTTCTAAGAAGTTTCTATATGGGATGAAATTGACAACAGCAACTCAAAAGATAGATAGCAACCTTAGAGGGCAATGAGTTCATGTTAATGGAGAGGAACAACTCAGAAAAAGAAGGTGAGAATGGTTGCACAACTTTAAGAATGTATCAGTGCCACTGGATAGTACATGTAGAAACCTGCTGAATTGGTATATGTTTTGCTGTGAATATACTCAAAATAAATTTAAAAAATTTTAAAAATCACTAGACATGCAAAGAAGCAAAAAGGACTCATAATAAAGAGAAAAATCAGGCAACTGAAATCGAAATCAACCGAGAACTGAAACATATGTTATAATAAACAGAAAATGACATTAAAATAGTTACTGTAATTGTATTCCATATATTCAAAAAGTTAGAGACGTGGAGGATTAAAAAAGACACAAATCAAACATCTAGAGATTAAATCTACAACATCTAAGATAAAGAGTAAATGGTAAGGTGAGATTTTAAGCTAAGTGACTGGAATAAAAGCAGTATTAGTAAATCAACAGGGCTTAGGTAAAATTATGCTAAATTTGGTTTGGGAAGGGTCAATGAAATAATTAGAAGACATATCCAGCATATGTTGAAAGTGTAGGTCTAGGAATACGAAATGAGGACTAGAAACAAATTTCCTTTGTGTAAAAGTTTTAAGAGCCTCATATCTATTCCTTCAGCTGGGCTGTACAAAGAGTTGAAAGTATTTTTTTAATGAAACAGTGATACGGATTTTTCAACGGACAGTTAACTCTTAAATTGCTTTAAAGATACAAGAGATAACAGTTGTTTCTTTTCAGTTCCCAAAGGGATTTGCTAGTACTTCCTTCACCACAATGATACAGAAGTAAAAGCATAAACCAAAAATAAACAAATAAATACACATACACAAAAGTAGCTCTTCTGAAGTGTATAGTATCTATGAGAAGTAAAGAAATGAAATCGAATGAGTCAACTCCAGAACATTTTGGTAAGCAAAAATTTTCCAAATCTGAAAAAGGTTCTTTTTGCTAGTGTTAAAATATCCTACCGGTAGAAATATTTAATAGCAAAACCTATAAAACAAATGAGATCATTTATCATTCTACTTACTTAAGATAGAAATCAATGATTACATCATTAAGAAATTCTCCTTCTTCTAAGCACTCCAGATCTTCATTAGTTACTCCTAATCCCCCTTTAGTAGGTGGTGGAGGATATACAATCAACCTTAAAAAGTAAAATCAAGGTTAAAATATACTGGTCTTGAAAATTTTAGTAACAAAGAGATTTTTTATATAGAACAATAATAGAACAGTAGTATTCTATAACTATAATCTGTAAGGTAAAAAATGTTTGACAGGATACAGCAATTAAATTTTACTTCATTTTCAGAAGTTACTAATGATATTCTCATTAAATATCATTTTTTCCCTTCCAATCCTTCCCATGTGGGCTAATCAATAAACTATATCTCAAAATCAGTTACAATACATTGAGGATGTGTCTCTTCTGCATAACTGAACTTACAACAAGCTGATGCAATCAAAAACAATTCAAAATGTATTAAGGAGCTAAATGAGAAAACTAAAACCATAAAATTCTTAGAAGAAAATGCAGGGACAACGCTGTCGGACCTAGCTTTTAACCATGGATTATCCAATATAATAGAAAAGGGCAAACAGCAAAAGACAAAATAAATAAATGGGACCTCATAAAAATTAAAAACTTTTGTTAATCAAAAAACTACACCAAAAAGGTGAAAAGACAAGCTACCAAATGGGAGAATATCTTCAGAAACCATACATCCAGCAAGAATCTAGTAACCAAAATATATATAAAATTTTGACAACAACAAAAAGACAAATAACCCAATCATAAAATGGGCAAAGGACTTGGATAGACATTTCACCAAAGAGGCCATTCAAACACATGAAAAGATGCTCAACGTCACCGGTCATCAGAGAGATGCAAATCAAAACTACAATGAGATACCATTTCACTCCCACTAGGATGATTAAGATTAAAAAAAACAAAATTAAAAAAAAAAACAAAAAAACAAATGTTGGCAAGGATGTGGGGAAATTCACTGCTGGTAGAAATGCAAACCTGAATGAAATGATGCCTATTGTTTTCTTAATAAAGTTTTTTTAGCTGTCTCATGAGTAAATTTCTCAAAAAATTACTGTCAGAATGAAAGTAAAATCAAAACATTTCAAAAAGTGAACTACTAAAAAGCAGCAACATGGATGAAAATTTCTAAAGTGTCCACTAATTATAAACAGGATATGGCACAGTACATACTTCTGAACAGGTCCAGTGTGCCTGACTTCTCGCCATTCTTCATCTGGATTAGATGTAATAGAAAGTGAGTAGCAACCACTGCTTTGCTTCTGTAGGAAGGTGTAAGTAGGCTTGGCTGCATCTACACTTGAGGACTGACAGAAAATGGAAATGAAAAACGTCTCCTTATAGATACATAAATACAAACATATTAACTCTCAAAAGTACAAAGTCAAAACCTAGACTTGTAATAGAAAATGCTGGGACTAAAAGAAATCCACACTACTGAGTTGCATCTATACTTTCAGAATTTTTTATAAAATAAGATAACCAAGCTAAAATAATACTTTTAATCGGAAGATACTGTACACACAATGGTCAAAGTTTAATTTGAAGTATTATTTCCAGCTCCGGGCTCTGTAAGCTAAAAAAGAATTTGAAAACTCTGCAGTTCAAAATGAACAAAAGAGGTAATAATCCATTGCCGTCGAGTCGATTCCTACTAATAGCAACTCTGTAGGAGAACTGCCCCATGGGGTTTCCAAGAAGTGGCTGGGGGATTCGAACTGCTGACTTTTTGGTTAGCAGCCGAATGCTTAACCACTGCGCCACCAGGACTCCAAAGAGATAACAGTACATAAAAATAAAATTTTCATTTAAGAGAGACTGAGTGTTATAATAACATAAATTCATATTTTATTATTAAATGGAAAAGCAGGATATAAAGTTGTATATATAATACAATAACTATGCAAAATTTTTACAATATGCATAAAAGATAGTGGTTATGTCTTTATGCCTCATCCTCCACTAAAGTGACTTTCTATAGGCCAGCTGAATAAAAGATTAGCTCCAGATTATACCCTTAGATAAACAGAGATACATATACACATATATGTGCATATATATACACACATACATATGTATATCATATATATATACACTTATCCCTGGAAGTATCTGACACAGATATACAAGCTACACGTATGCTACCAACCTCCTATAAAAACAAACATTGTTGTCAAGAAGGGGAGAGCGTTGACATGTCGTAGGGTTGGTAACCAATGTCACAAAACAATACGTGTACTAATTGTTTAATGAGAAGCTAGTTTGTTCCATAAACCTTCATCTAAAGTACAATAAAAAAATAAAAAATAAACATTGTACTTTTTAACTTACTATTAAATGTTTCAGGTTAATTTTAGACTTACAGAAGAGTTGTAAAAAATAAACCTTCACCCAGCTTCCCCTAATGTTAACATCTTGTATGCCATAGTGCAATTATGAAAACTATTAACACTGGTATATTACTATTAACTATAGACTTTATTCTGATTTCACTAGTTTTCCACTAATATCCTTTCCCTGTTCTAGGATTCCATAATTCCTTGGCCATCGGTAACCTAGGACCATGGCCATGATACTTTTGAAGAGTACTGTTCAGTTACTTTGCAAATGAATTTGTCTGATTTTTCTCATGACTAAACTAAGGCTATGAATTACTAGGCAGAATACCACAGAAGAGACATACCCTTCCCAGTGCATAACATCAGGGGGTACATTATGCTGATGTGTCTTATTACTGGTGATGTTTACTTTGATCCCTTGATTAAGGTGGTGTCTGTGGGGTTTCTCCACTGTAAAATTATTACTTTTCCTTTTGTAATTAACGTTTTAGAGAAAATACTTCGAGACTATGCAAATACTCTTTTTCTTCTTAAATTTTCACCTGTTAATTTTGGCATCCACTGGTGGATCTTGCCTGCAACAATTATTACCGTGGTGTTCTAACAGTGATTTTCTATTTCCCTCGTTCCTTTTATATTTATTAATTGAAATTTTTCTCTAAGGAAGAGTTATTCCTTATCTTCCATTTATTATTCATTCATTCAGTTATCTACTTACATCAGTATAGACTCATGGATATTTATCTTATTCTTTGGTTATAATCTCATACTATCATTACTGATTTTGTTGATCAAACTGTTTCAGCTTTGTTTGGCTTTGGGGGCTCTTTCTGATCAGCTCCTGCACTCTTTCAACAAAATGGAGCACTCTGAAATCAGCCTAATTTTTAAATTTTTACCCAACACTCCTACAAACTACAGTAATCATATGCTAACCTGAGACACTGACTTCACCTTCATTTCTTCAACAGCAGCAGTAGGGAAAGAACAAGCTGAAGCACAGTAATAATGAATAAAAGAACTTTCTCTTGAAGAGAGGCTCTGAAACAAAGGAAATGCCTGAACCCAAGACAACGGGTAAGAAAGGTCTAATTTTCCATTGGTCGTACTTATTTCTGTCATAATATCTTTCAATTTCAATTCTTCTCTTTGTGAAATAGGATTGTGTAGCTCAAGGAAAATGAATTCACTGGATTTTGCTATAAAAGAAAAAAAAGAAACCAACTTTTATTCATAGTACTATTTTCCAAGGAAATTATAATTAAAATAATTATTACTAACAGTAAGGTTGCTATATAACCCAACAAAGTATTTTGTATGTTAGGTAATAACTCAGGCAAATTAAAATCACATAATAGGTCATTAATAGCCTAGAACCAAAACTCCCAAGTTTTAGATTTATGTAACACTGCATTAGAATGGAAACTCTACAATGGTATGGACTGCCGTATCTCCAGTGCCTGGCACTTAGTAGGTGCTCAGTAAACATTTGTTAAGGAATATATGAATGAATGAATGAGTGAAAATTAAGCAATAATTTTTCTAGCCTTCTCCATATATCAAATTTATCAATTAAGAAAGTATCCAATCAAACACCTCCTTCAAAATCATTTTCTTTCACCAATCATTTCAACAATGGTCTCAAAAACCATTCTCTCCTTCTACCCTAATAATGATCATAAATGGCTTTGTATGTTTCCCCATACTATTTAATCATGAATTTTTCCAATTAACTTACATAATTAGGACAGGGAAATAACTAAATTTAAAGGTATAAAATTTAGTTCACCAATTAACATCTTTAATATTCAAGGGAGTAAGGGGAAGAAGGTAGAGAGATCAAAGAGGTAAAAACAAACCTTACTAACATGATTTATCCAATTCTAAACCAGGTCCTTTAGGAGTCTGAAACTAAAAAAAGTTGGGAAATATCTCAAGATGCATATAAACACGTGTTACGGGAGCACACACAAAGGTATGCAACCCAGTCTTAGAGGAATGATGTGTAAGTAAACTGAGCCTTTTTTTTAAAAGAAACTATAGGAAATGTTGAAGGTAAAGACTTCTATATTTTATTTAACTTTGCCACTGATTACCTCTGCCACAGTTCATTATGAAACAAGAGCAAGAAAACTTATACTAAAGATAGCAAAAGATGGCAACCAACTAAAAGATAAGGTATTCCTTTTACTTTTGAAGATAATTTCCCTTGGCTGAATAAAATTATCAGGAGAAATTAATGTGAAAAAATACAATAATTTATTTTACGTAATATTAAGGAATAAAATTATTTTTAATTCAATGAAATAATTACATCCTATTAATTTATTTTAAAAGAAAACTATAGATTTCTCAGGTTATCCTGAAATTCAGAAATCATTTTATACTCACATTGCTGGCTTAATACAGAATTTTCTAATTGGATCTGAATCTCTTGAAGATAATTTGAAGAAACCCAGAGGAAAAGGATAGTACGACTCCTTTTACTGTGGTCATCATCTTTACTTTTCCATAACCCAAACCTCTTTAAATGCGTAGTATCCACTAGCAATGAAACTTCATTGAGGGACACTGAAACAAATAAAAGATAACAACTTATGACAATTGACAATTCTTTAATACACTATATTGTTCACAAAGGATTACAGCAAAGTGTTTTATAAATATATTTCCAGTCCACTTCACTAAACTTAGCTGAAGTACTCCAAGCAATATTAGAATAAACAAACATCAATTACAATTATGAAGGCCTAAATACTTATTAAATTATAATTAAATTTGGGAATTTAGCCTTTTATAGTATATGATTTCGGTTGTATCCAGAAAAGGACAATTTGAGATTAAATTAATTCAGTAGCATTAAAATCTTGTCCAGAGAGGCTTCTCACTATGAGCTCTGATATCACTAGCAAAAAGGGATGTGGGGAGACTATAGATTATCAATGCAGACAACTAATTACAGTGTAACTTAGAAAACAATATATTCCTACCTTGGTCAATACTATAAACCAAGACTCCAAACATTATCAGATTTCTGCCTATCTTTCTAATAAATGACTTCCCTTCTCCCAAAATATCTGCATTCCATTACATACACTAGCCACTGTCAAAAGACTCAAGAATAAGATAAGGTTCTGAATGGTCTAAGATGCAACTTCTTCTACAATTCTTCCAGATTTTACTTCTCAAAATGTCCCGGTAATCACTCTGACTTATCAGTTTTTCTCCTTCATAATGAGCTAGCAGAATCACCTCTGAGGACTTTTTTTTTTTTTAAAAGCTGGAAAGACACATAGACACTGGTATAAAGAAGTCCTGAGGTCATCTGGTTCTTAAGAAAGCAGCTGAACCAAGAATACAATGAATACAAATATCAGTTAACAAATCCCTTAGTATTCCTCCCCCCATTCTCTCCTGGCACCTTGCTATTCAAAGTGTAGTCCTCATATCAGTGACAATGGCATCATCTCAGAGCTTGTAGACATGCAGAACCTCAGGCCCCACCTTAGATCTACTGAATCAGAATCTTTAATATAACAAGATCCTTAAATGATTCACGTGAACTAAAATTAAAGTCAGAAGAACATTTTACAATGGGCATTCAAATATCTGATTTACCAGTCATCTTTAATGTTCCCAAGCCAGCCATTCTATTCTTTACACTTTAACTCCCCATTCTGAAAATTGTCATTGAAACTGGCAGCAAAGACTAATAACATTTCTTCCTCATGCAGCTCACAGCCCCACAGACAGTCAATACTGTATCTGTGAGATTACACGATTATTACTAAGCCAATTGTTCCAGACTTTTAATATGGAAGCTAATTTTTCTTTAAGAAGACTACTTTAAAAAGCTTTCTTTAGAAAGATTAGTCCAAAGGACTAATGGACCACAACTACCACAACCTCCACCGGACTGAGCCCAGATGGCGCCCAGTTACCACTACTGACTGCTCTGGCAGGGATCACAATAGAGGGTCCCGGACAGAACAGGAGAAAAATATACAACAAAATTCAAATTAAAAAAAAAAAAAAAAAAGACCAGGCTTGCTGGTCTGACAGACTGGAGAAACCCCAAAAGCATGGCTCCCGGACACCCTTTTAACTAAGTACTGAAGTCACTCCTGAGGTTCCCCTTCAGCCAAATATTAGACAGGTATATAGAGCCAACAATAACACACGTGAGGGACGTGCTTCATAGTTCGATCATGTATACGAGGCTAATGGGCACACCAACCCGAAAGCAAAGACGAGAAGGCAGGAAGGGACAGGAAAACTTGACAAATGGAAATGGAGAACCCGAGGTCAGAAGGGGAGAGTGTTGACACATCACAGAGCTGGCAACCAATGTCACAAAACAATTTGTGTATTAACTGCTTAATGAGAAACTAATTTGCTCTGTAAACTTTCACCTAACTCACAATTTAAAAAATGGAAAAATAAAACTAAAAGTTTCCCTTAAAAAAGGAGATTTAACACCATCATGAAGAGAATTTACCTCATTACCAAATTTTTCCTCAATATGTGGCTTTTCTGTACACAGCTATGGCAGACTTAAAAGTGGAAATTGCATACCCACTTTTCATTCCATCTTCTTCCTTAGTAACAAAACCCTAAATTTATTCAGAACAGCAATATACCAAGCTTTAAAATAAGAAAACTTACTTCCTAGCTTCTTTTGCAAATAAGTGTGTGGCCACATGACTAAATTCTAGATAATAAAATGAAAGTAGAAGAGGTTAGGTGGCATGGACTTACAGGAAATCACTTCAAAAGGGTGAGAGATAGGTGGCATGTGCCCTTTTTACTATCTACCCTATTTCCTGCTTTCTGCCTGGAACATTAACATGATGAAGGGAGCATGAGACAAACTTGAGGGTGAAAGCCCTGTATCAGGGATGACACACCAAAATAACAGAAGAGCCTGGGCCTGATAGCCAATAAGACATCATATTAGCCCTATTCAGCCTACCTCTGGAGTTCTTCTATGAGGGAAAAATAAACTATTTTCTTTAAGTCATTATTACTAACAGCCAAATACAATTAATACCTAATATAAATATGCAAAAATCATTTTTTCTTAGCTGCTATAGAAAAAAATATATTTAGACTCCTAGGTTCCCATCTACAAAACCCTTTTATATGCATGTCTTGTTTTTAAAAGATTTTTTCACATGGAAACTTATCATAGACAGGATTTGGGGAAGAAGACTAATATCTTCCTGTTGACCTCTATTATAAAATTATAGATCCACTGCCATTGAAAAGAGTATTTTCCCATGATTTTTAATTGAAATTGTCTTTTAAAAATTATATGGAATCACAGGGGGAAGACGCCATGTAAAGATGCATCTACAAGCCAAGGAATGCCAAGGATTGATGGGCACCACCAAAAGTCAGGAGAGTGGAATGAAACCGTTTCTCTCTCAGAGCCCTCAACACAGCCAATACCCTGATTAGAACTTACAGCCTCCAGAACTGTGAGACAATAAATTTCTGCTTTTTTAAAGCTAAAAAAACAAGAAAAATTCTTAGCAGATCAAAAATTGTAAAATAAGTAATATTTGAAACTAAAAACAAATATTAACTATGAAAACTTCAAATACGGAGGAAAACAAGGTGAGGCTTGTATCACAAGAATTTGAGGGTAGTTCACTCTGTTAACCCAGGCCTTTAATTATAAAATCGCACTATCTTTTATGAAACTATTATTTCCTTTTAAAATCACAGGCCTTTATTTATTTCTTCTAAATGGCTAATGTTATGGTATTTCTTAACAATTTATTAAAATTCCTAATTAGGGCTATCAATATATTTATTCTGAGCCTTATATATTCTTACTATATATGGTGGTTTCCTAATTGTTAGACTCATTATCATAACGTATAGTTTTAGATTTCTATACACGGGTTATCTATGAGTCCAATTAAAGTCACTTTGATGACATCTTCAGTCTTAGAACAGAAGCTTCCTGGTCCCTAGTTCATATCTGAAATGCTAATTGTGCACATTTTTTCTTTCTTGTTCTTTTCACAATACATTCTCTAAAGAGACTATCCTCTATTGCTTACTACTTGTTTTCGTAGCATCATTATTTATTCTGAAAGGATTTTAGTAGGGAAGAGAGGCAAGAAAAAATGGTCTGAGTTGCAGGTACATTTTCCAGTCTACCTATCCAGATAAGAGATGACATAAAAATTTCTCTTAGCTTCTATGCAAAAACATTTTACACTTCTTTCCTTATAATTTTCACCCATTTTTATATACCAAAAATATTCTTGCTTTCTACCTCAACTTTATTTCTGTTAATCCCAAGAAATCACTGAGTTCCCTTAGTATTATTTAACTTGAAGTCATTAAAACAATACTATTTTCAGTATTTTAAAACAACTCCTTTTAAAGCTGTTTAAAAAAAAAAAAAAGCTAAGTTAACCTCAAGCATGTCATTAAACTGCCTTAGTTTTATTTAAATTCCATACAGAAAAAAATTATAGAAAACTGGTTGCAAAACCACTTCAAAATTTTTGCCGACAATTTATTTTACTCAAAATCAGTGAAAAGAGGTCATAAGACAATGATAGCTTACCTTGAAATGGAATCTTAACATACTTTGTCGTGAACTTAAAGGAAAAATATAAAAGCAAAAAATTAGTTACTACTCAAAATTTGTTACTATACAAAATGTTTTTTAATCTTTTTCAAACCACAAGTACATATTCAAATTCTATACTAAAAGTGCTCAAGCCCTGTTGTCAATAAACTTTTATCAATAAAAGAAAATGTTTTACTGTAAAGACAGTGCTATGGAAGTTTAAGAATTCTGCACAAGAAATTTAATTTTCAATATGTTCACTCATAAAAACCAGTAACACTTTTTTTTTCAACATTTACTGAAGATTTAAAGAACTAGTAAGATAAAGTCAGATTACAGCCCAGAAGAAACTGCCAAGAGACATCAAGCACTGACTTTGGTAAATATACTATAAAACAGGGTTTCATTCTTGGCTTTGCAGACTCAGAAGCTGACAGCTCGGCAAAAGTGATCTTTTGCTTTGGAATGAACTCACAATAACCAAGATTACAAGAGATGCTGAACAAAATGCCAGTGTACATCTACATGTTCTACATTATTTACAGTGAGAAACTAAAACTCTCAAAAAAGGCTTAATTTGTGTCCCACCCAGCACAAACATTCTGTTTCTGTAGAAAAATTATCTGGTGAGTCCAACTACAATCAAAAGGTTGCTTTTACAACATGAAAGCAGAACTAGAAGAATCAGTTGTTTAATGTCAAGTGGCTACAAAAGTCCAATGCATCCAACTCCATAACAGTGATGCACTTGTGAAAATGGTAACATAAAGTATGTCCAGAAGCCAGAACACCCTTTCCTCTGGATAACTATTAGATAAGCACTGACACCTCTTCCATCCCTAGCATTCATCTTCTTTGTTCCATATTATGAGTTCCCTTCCGACTAAGGATACAGCAAGGTTCTTACTCTTTCTACTCTCTTTAAGCGCTGCTTTACGTGTTGCTTTTATAATAAGGAACTAGCTGAATCTTTTACATCTACTACCTAAAACAGGCTTGTGCTTTGAAGTTTATTTTTCCATTAATGGCAAATAAATCTGTGCCTATTTATTTAGTTCTTTGGTTAAGTCTCTCTTTTGATCAACACATTTATGAAATTGTTGACCATATCAAAAAGTACAGTCTGAAAACACAAAATCAAACAGAAAATGGCTCTGCTACCTATTATACCACCACAGTAGTCAAAACAGCCTGGTACTGGTACAACAACAGATACACAGACCAATGGAACAGAGTTGAGAATCCAGATATAAGCTCATCCACCTATGAGCAGCTAATATTTGACAAAGGCCCAAAGTCCGTTAACTGGGGCAAAGATAGTCTCTTTAACAAATGGTGCTGACATAACTGGACACCAATCTGTAAAAAATTGAAAGAAGACCCATACCTTACACCATGCACAAAAACTAACTCGAAATAGATCAAATACTTAAATATAAAATCGAAAACAATAAAGATCATGGAAGAAAAAATAGGGATAACGCTAGGAGCCCTAATGCATGGCATAAACATAATACGAACTATAAGTAACAATGCACGAGTACCAGGAGAGAGAAAAATGGGAGCTCCTAAAAATCAAACACTTATGCCCATCAAAAGATTTCACCAAAAGAGGAAAAAGACAACCTACAGACTGGGAAAAAATTTTTGGCTACGACAAATCTGATCAGCGTCTAATCTCTGAAATCTACAAGATACTGCAAAACCTCAACCAAAAAAAGACAACCCAATGAAAAAATGGGCAAAGGATATGAACAGGCACTTCACCAAAGAAGATATTCAGGCGGCTAACAGACACATGAAGAAATGCTCATGATCATTAGCCAATAGAGAAATGCAAATCAAAACTACAATGAGATATCATCTCACCCCAACAAGGCTAGCACTAATTCAAAAAAAACAAAATAATAAATGCTGGAGAGGTTGTGGAGAGACTGAAACACTTATACACTGTTGGTGGGAATGTAAAATGGTACAACCACTTTGGAAATTGATTTGGCGCTTCCTTAAAAAGGTAGAAATAGAAGTACCATACGATCCAGCTATCCCGCTCCTTGGAATATATCCTAGAGAAATAAGAGCCATCACACGAATAGATATATGCACACTCATGTTCACTGCAGCACTGTTCACAATAACAAAAAGATGGAAACAACCTAGGTGCCCATCAACAGACGAATGGATAAACAAATTATAGTATAGCCACACTATGGAATACTACGCAACGATAAAGAACAACGATGAACCCATGAAACATAACATGGAGGAAGCTGGAACTCATTATGCTGAGTGAATTTAGTCAGTCGCTATGGTATAGCCACACTATGGAATACTACGCAACGATAAAGAACAACGATGAAGCCGTGAAACATAACATGGGGGAAGCTGGAACTCATTATGCTGAGTGAATTTAGTCAGTCACAGAAGGACAAATACTGTATAAGACCACTATTATAAGAACTCAAGAAAAGCGTTAAACACAGAAGAAAACATTCTTTGATGGTTACGGGGATGGGGAGGGAGGGTAAGGGTTATTTACTAACTAGATAGTAGATAGGAATTATCTTAGGCGAAGGGAAGGACAGGACACGCTACAGGGGAAGTCAGTACAACTGGACTAAAACAAAGCTAAGGAGTTTCCTGAATACAATCAAATACTTTGAGAGACAGAGTAGCAGGGATAGTGCTCTGGGGACCATGCTTTCAGGGGACATCGAGGTCAACTAGCATAACAAAGCTTATTAAGAAAATGTTCTGCATCCTACTTTGGTGAGTGGCCTCTGGGGTCTTAAAAGCTTGCAAGTGGCCATCTAAGATGCATCAATTGGTCCCAACCACCTGGAGTAAAGGAGAATGAAGAACACCAAAGTATTAGCCCAAGAGACAGAAAGGGCCACGCAAACCAGAGACTTCATCAGCCTGAGACCAGAAGAACTAGATGGTGCCCACTCTGACAGGAACACAACAGAGAGTCTCTGATGGAGTAGCAGAAAGATGGGGTGCAGAACTCAAATTCTAGTAAGGAGACCAGACTTAATGGTCTGAGACTGAAGGTACCCCAGAAAGCAATGAATGGCCCCTGGATTCCCTATCAGCCCAGAACTAAAACAATTTCCAAAGCCAACTCTTCAGACAGGGATTGGACTAGGCTGTGGGACATAAAGTGATACTCATGAGGAGTGTGCCTCTTAGTCAAGTAGATATAAGAGACCAAAGGGGCAGCTTCTGTCCAGAGGTGAGATGGGAAGGCAGAGAGGGCTAGGAGCTGGTTGAATGGACATGGGGAATCAGGCAGAAAGGAGGAGTGTGCTGTCGCAGAATGGGGTGAGCAATTAGGGTCACATAACAATGTATGTATAAAATTTTGTATGGGAGACTAACTTGAAATGTAAACTTCATTTAAACTACAACAATAAAAATAAAAAAAGAAAACGGCTCTGCTATATAGGTACCTAAATTAACTGCCAACAGAATTCTACATTAAGCAGCAAAGAATGTTCAGTGAAATCATAGGTTTATTTGACTTCATTTATTTTACCAATTTATTTCATACTGTAGTTTCAGAAATAAAAAACCCATATTGCATTAGTGTAAGGTCAGGCACTAAAGCAAAATTTGAGGCATAGGGAGTATTAATTAAAATCATGAGCTTGGGGTTCAAATCCTGCCTCTACTGTCTCTAACACACAAATAGTAAGCACGTAACCTTAGGTAACTTACTGAATCTCTCTCAGCTTTAGTTTCCACATCTATAATAGCAGGGTAGTTATAAGTTTTAAAAGAGATGATGTATTTAAAGTGCTTAGAACCATGTCTGTTCAAGAATCAAGGGGAGTTATTATCATTAGACACTAGCATCTGATTAACAATTTTTAGTTATCTAGCTCAATTTAGTCAAATAAACCTTATGATTCAGTCATTTTCAAATAACTGCCATATATATTTAGTTTATATTTTCCCTTGCCAAATTCTTTCTAATCTATTTCACTGGTTCTTTAGTCTCATCAGAGCCCTGGTGGCACACTGGTTGAGAGCTCGATTACTAAGCAAAAGATCAGTAGCTTGAATCCTGGGAAACCCTATGGCGCAGTTCTACTGTGTACTATAGGGTTGCTATGAGTCAGAATCGACTCAACAGCAACGGGTTTGGTTCTGTTTTATCTCATAAAATATGTCTCAGCAAATGTAAATAACTAGTTCTAGAAAATAAATATAAAAAGTTTTGCTTTTGAGATTTTATACAGCCATTACTACAACATATAGTCATAATGCCAAACAAGACAAAATTATGAAGTAGAAATAGTACCTCATCATGTCCCTAGCCTCAACTTTCTATACTCCTCTAGCTCTCCATCCTCAAGTCCTCTTGTGTATTCAAACCTTGCTGCTTGGTGAGGGTTTGATATTCATTTACACCTTTGTAGGATGAATAAGCCAACATATTATCTCTCTCAAGGGTAAAACCCTATTCCCAGTAAAAATTTAACCGCCAGTTAAAGTGAAAAAAACATTTTTGTGGCAGTTAAGGAGCCCTGGTAGCACAGTGGTTAAAGAACTCGCTAATTAACCAAAAGGTCAGTAATTTAAACCTACCAGCCACTCCTCAAGAGAAACATGGGGCAGAAAGCTTCTGTAAAGATTTACAGCCTTGGAAGTCCTATGGGGCAGTTCTACTCTGTCCTATAGGGTTGCTATGTGTCAGAATCGACTCGACAGCACTGGGTTTGGCGTTTTTTGAGATAAACTCAGTTCTCTGAAATCATAACACACTTGCTTAAACTTAAGAATAATACTGATTGTAAGAGCTATTTTATACCTTCTTACAGTCGTCATTGTAGTTCTCTGAATATATTATATACTTAATAAACATTTTCCCTACTATCAACAAAGTTTAAAAAAAGAAAACATTCACATCTAATGCAGTACTCTCTGCACTAAAAAAAAAAATTTAAACTTAAATGTCCAACTATAGGAATATGGCTCTAATTCATGTAGCAGTTCCCCCCGTAGATATTTTCTAGTTCAGCTAAACTGTAACTATCATAAGCATGAGAACAGTATCTCCAGTATCTGCAACAATGTTTAACACATAGTAGGTGTCATGGATTGAACTGTGTCCACCAAAAATATCCATCAACTTGGCTGGGTCATGATTCCCAGTATTGCAACTGTGTACCATTTTGGAATCTGATGTGATTTTCTTATGTGTTGTAAATTCAATCACTATGATGTAATAAGATGGGTTAGCAGCAGTTACACTGATGAGGTATACAAGACTGGATAGTGTCTTAAGCCAATCTCTTTTGAGATATAAAAGAGAGAAGCAAGCAGAGACACATGGGAACCTTATACCACCAAGAAAGCAGTGCCAGGAGCAGAGCACATCCTTTGGACCTAAGGTTCCTGTGCTGAGATACCCCCAGACCAAGGGAAGACTGATGCATAACAAGGACCTTTCTCCAGAGCCAACAGAGAGAGAGAGCCTTCTCCTGGAGCTGATGCCCTGATTTTGGACTTGTAGCCTACTGGCTGTGAGAGAATAAACTTCTCTTGGTTAAAGCCATCCACTTGTGGTATTTCTCTTATAACAGCACTAGATGACTAAGGTGGCAGGCACTTAGTAAATGTTTAGAGAATGACCAAGCTTAATTCTCTAATATATTTACCTATCAAAAAGAAGTCCTTTAATTTCTAAGTTAAAGAGCATCATGAACTGTGTCTGAAAAAATACCTATATAGCTTTTTTGTTTGTTTTGTCCAACATCTTAGCAAGGCTGCAGTTGTAGTAGCTGCTCTCCAAGCTTCAAGATGCCACCCAAGGACGACAAGCAGAAAGACATCAGAAAATCAGCCAGGAAAGACAAAAACCCCATAAACAAATGTGCAGGCAAGGCCAAAAAGAAGTGATCCGAAGGCAAAGTTTGGGACAAGCTCAATAACCTGGTCTTGTTTGACAACGCCACATATGACAAACTCTGTAAGGAAGCTCCCAACTATAAGCTTATAACTCCAGCTGCTGTCTCTCAGAGACTGAAGACTGGAGGTTTCCTGGCCAGGGCAGCCCTTCAGGAGCTGCTTAGTAAATGGACTTATCAAGCTGGTTTCAAAACATAGAGTTCAAGTAATTTACACCAGAAACCTCAAGGGTGGAGATGCCCAAGCCAGTGAAGAAGCAAGAACAGGTGCAACCAACTGTGTATTTTGAAAACTAAAACTTTATTAAATCAAAAAAAAGAGAGAGAGAGAGAGGTTTTTGAAATAAATTCTTTAAAACTTTCACCTCTTTTCCTTTTTCATATTACTCAATATAATTTTTTAGCTTTTAAAAGTGCTTATGCTCTCTCCATTCTAACATAAGTTTTAATTTTTGCAGTATTCCTCTCAGTCTTCATTCACATGCATATATTTTACATGCATGTTATTAACTTTGATTTATTAAAACACTTTCTTATAAATACCTAAAAAAGTTTTTTTATTTTAATTATAAGAAATGATCCAAAAATAATGACACAATAAATTTTAAGGGCTACTTTGTGACAATTACTGAATATTTGCAGTCCCCTATTATTTCTAATAGAAAAATGTTGAGACAATGTAAATGTCAAACAGGGAATTTGTTAAGGACAATCCAAATATCCCAGAATAAATACATGAATTAATAAAATGATGGTAAGCTTCAAAACAGTAGGTAGGATATAATATCCTTTTTGTCTGAAATACATGTATATATGTATGTATGGTTTATGTGTGAGTGTATACATATATATATTTATATACATATACACACAAGAATATGGAATGATATACACCATAGAATTAGCAGCATTTGTCTCTAGAAAAGCAAGATTATGGGTGTTCTTTATATTGTTCCTTTATTCATTTGTAGCTTTTGGTTTGGTTTTGGCTTTTGCGCATAACAAGCTCATCTGACTGTGTAATACCATAATTTATCAATTAATTTTAAAAATCCTTATGTTTAATATTTATGTTGGATTTTCCCCCTTGGCTAATCACTTATTATAATATATTTAGGCTATCCAACTTTTTGTCATTATAAAGAACTCAACAGAAATAACCAGCTAACACTGAATTTAAAATAAAAAAGCAAAATGGGGAAAGAATTCTAAAAATGGAATTCTGAAATTTCTTAAAGAAAAAGAATTGTAAAATTGTCCCTGGGCATGCCAAGACCCTTAATATTTGAAGATCAGTGACCAGAGAATACTAATATTAAACAACCTGTTCTTAAGCTTTCAATCAACCCAATTTTTACTCTATCACAAGCTACCATTATTTGTACCTCCCAGAATTTGCCAGGATTTGGACATAATGCTTACTCTATTGAGATTAGGCCCTCATCTACATGGACATCAAGTAAACATCTACTTTATGTCTTAAAACTCATGCTATCTTCTTTGTGAAGTGTTCCCTGACTCCTCTGGAAAGATATGGGTACCCATTACCATATGCATCCTTCTTGTACACATTTCTATTGTATATTTACCATACTGTAAAGTAAATATAAGGAGCCTGGTGGCACACGGGGCCCTGGTGGTGGAGTGGTTAAGCGTTTCACTGTTAACCAAAAGGTCGGCAGTTCGAATGTACCAGCTGCTCCTTGGAAACCCTATGGGGCAGTTCTACTGTGTCCTATAGGGTCACTATGAGTCGGAATCGACTCAGTGGCAATGGGTTTGGTTTGGTTTTGGTTTTGGTGGCACAATGGTTAAGCTCTTGGCTGTGAACCAAAAGTTTGGTAGTCAAACTCATGCCAGAGACAGATCTGGCAATTTGTTCACATAAAGATTACAGCCTGGAAAATCCTGTGTGGCAGTTCTACTCTGTCACATGAGGTCACTATGAGTCAGAACCGACCTGACAGCACCTAACATCAACAACTTAAGTACATGTCTATCTCTTCAGTTAGAATATAAATTCCTTGAAAGCAAAGATTATGTCTTTCCATTTTTGTAACTCATGCTTTATCCTTAATACAGTAAAATATTAATAAAACTTCTAGAAAATAACCTAAGTATAAATTGGAGATTATTTATGTGTTTTGCCATCATATGTCACTGTCAATGCAATTCAACAAGCATTCATAACTGCTTCCTTAGGTTTCAGCCATGTAGTGAAGGTATACAGTGAATAAGCATGATTTCATTATAAGAACCTCAAAGTCTAATGGAGAGGTTTAGGAAGAATATAAGTAATTATAAAACAGAATAGAATACGTCTTATAACAGATATAGAATTGAAGTGCTATAAGTAAAAAAAGTGCTACAAGTACACAGAAAAAGGAGAAGTTAATTTTGACTGGAAAAGAGGGATCAGAAAAGGCTTCCTGGAAGAGGTAGTATTATTTCAGATAAGCCTTTAAAAGATGAATTTTAACAGGCAGAAATGGTGAGAAAATATAGAGAGCTGAGTAATAAATTTTTATTCTGGCTTCAGGATATAGTATGTGATGGAGAATACTGGGAAAAAAAAGGTTGAAAAATAGATTAGGATCAGTTCCTATAAGGCCTTAAATGACAAATTTACAAGTATGGAGAACTCTGTGGCACAAACAGTTTAGTGCTCGACTACTAGCCAAAAGGTTGGCAGTTCGAATCCACCCAGAAGTGCCTCAGAAGACAGGCCTGGCGATCTGTTTCCAAAAGGTCACAGCCTTGATAACCCTATGGAGTTCTACTCCGCACACACAGGCTCACCATGAGTCAGAATTGACTTGATGGCAACTAACAGCAACAGTTTACAATAATTTAAACCAGCAAAATGAAGATTTCTTTTCCTTTGTACTCTCAATTGCACACTGAATAAAAATTTACTTTACCACCAAGTAATTTTTAAAGCCAAAAGAAATATCAATACTACATTTTTTTTTTCATAGATGAGCTCCATTAGATTAGTCAGAAATTAGAGACATGATTTTGGGGAATGATACATTTCAAAGTAGGTATAATGACTTTCAACACAGCTCAAGTGACCCACATAAAATTAATCTCAATCCTATTAGCTGTTTTACTTAAAAAAACAAACAAAAAAAACCCTGCAAATCTAAATCAAAGACTTAAAAAAGAAAATATACTTACTGTAACAGAACCTTTAGATGCTCCTTTTATTTTTCCAATATAAACAGAAGTAAACATAAAATCCAGTTGTAGATCCATCTCTTTACCAGGCATAATACAGGAAATGTTTTCCATGACAGGACGTAATTCAGATGCAGCCTAGCAAGGAATAAATGATAAAATGCATATAACCCTAAGTATTATATAAATACTGAAAATGATTTCAAAGCAAAATTGTTCTTTAAATTACTACTAACGAATCTGTAAAGGATTTTATACTGTTACTTGTGAAGATACAGTTATCTAGATTTTTTTTAAAAAATATATGATTCACCTTGAGAAAACTGCTCTAAATAGTCAAATCCAAAAATTAATTCCACAGGCCTAAGCTCCAGAAGTATATCTTCCTCTGTATCAAAGCCATAATTTCAAATGTAATATTCTCTAATAGGTTTTACTCATTTTTAACTCAACAGAAAGAAATTTAAATTTACACAAGTGTTTTAGAAAATATATTATCTTTTTTAATCTCCACAACTACTCTATGAGGTAGTTTTTTTCCATTTCATAAATAAAGTTAATAAATGTCTGGATTGGATAAATGGCTTGCCAAAGGTCATGCAGTTAGTAAAACCAAAACTAAGACTCAAACCCAGGTTTTCTGTCTCTTGGTCAAGTGCTATTTCAACCACATAAAATTGCTTCCATAATCCAAGATGACTGCTTGCTATTGCACTTTTATAGTGAACAATGAAGGGATATAAGTACCTAAAAACCTTCTGTTCTATTACATGTATATGCTTTACGATATGTTCTATATCCAAAGATAGCCAACCAGAAGCAGCTCACAGTTGCCTACAACTTCAAAAGCCATACCACTTCCACTCAAACAGATTATCAGCCGCAGCTGTTTCCCACAATCTCTTCTGAATTTTACACTGCTTTCAGATGACTTCTTTCAACTCCTCATTTGCGTAGCCTTTGCACATTATCCCTCTTTAATTCTAACATCACAAATGATCAAATAAATTACCACTAAAGCAATTATTATGCATATGTACTCACTCTCCTTCTACCTCTAACAAATATAATCAAACTTCATTTGAAACATATACGATACTTATTTTTCATCCAGCTCACAATGCTAATTACCGTCTTGAAAGAATTTATCATTCTCATTTTTTACTGCTTGCTATACTGTTCTTTTTATTCCCTAACTAAAAAGGGAGAATCAAATCCACTACAATGGCTACAATCAGTCAGACAAATCAAACTGAATTCTTTTTTAGTGATGAGATGAAAAGACAGAATTTCTTACTGGGCCTCACGTGTTGTAAAGACTGTCTCCTAAAAATAACCAACCTATATTTCTCTAACTTCATGTAAAATTGGTCGCAAGGGAGGGTAGGGAAATGTGGTATTCTGCCTTTTAGATCTTGCAGGTCTCCACAGTATTTGCTCCTTGGTTGTGATCCTACCCTGTCAATTCTACAAGAGATGTTATTTTCTTGTAAATTTGATCATTTTATACTGCATGATCAGCTTATGAAGGAGCCCTGGTAGAGCAGTGGTTAAACGCTCAGCTGCTAATTGAAAGGTCAGTGGCTCTAACCCACCAGTTGCTCCACGGGAGAAAGATGTGGCACTCTGCTTCCGTAAAAATTTCGGTCTTGGAAACCCTATGGGGCAGTTCTACTCTGTCCTATAGGGTGGCTATGAGTCAGAGTCGACTCAGTGGCAATGTGTACAGGTATCATCTATGTGCTGCCAAGGCAACTACAATTCATCTAGAAGTTTGCACTCATAATAAACAATGATACTGTTTTAATTATAAACATAACCAAGCCATCAAGTGAAATCCCTGGGTGGTGCAAACTGTTAATGCTTAACGTAGCTGGCTGCTATCCGAAAGGTTGCAGGTTTGAGTCCACCCAGAGGCACCTTGAAGAAAGATCTGGCAATTTATTCTCAAAAAAAAATCAGCTATTGAAAACCCTACGGAGCACAGTTCTATTCTGACACACATAGGGTTGACGTGAGTTGGGGTGGACTCGACAGCAACTGGAATAAGCCATCAAGCAGGCTATTAGCCCAATCTGGCAAGAATAGTTATGTTTTAGAAAAATTCAGAACACAGCTGCTGAGGTGATCTCTATGTGGAGTATCAAATGCAAAAGAAACATCCATGAAATGATAAACAGACTATCACATTGTCTTCAAAGATCTGACCAAACTCTTCATTGTACTTTAGAGAATAACAGCTTCTAAGATTATTCAAAAACACACTAACATAAATTTATAACAATTATGCACTGGTGATCACTAATAATAATTTCTTTAAAAAATGATATAATCAGAGGCTGACAGTAGAAAAGAATACTGACAATAAACAACTTGAACCTTACTTTAGAGCACTGTATCAAAGACAAAATCGGCAAACATTAAATCAAAAGACACTTCCATTTATTATTTTCTATAAGGAAGAGACAAAGAACTTACCAAACTTGATAGGTTTCTCAAACAGTTCTAAATACTTTCGTATGGTATTTTGTTTAATACTCAAAATAATCTTGTGAGGTAGGTGTTATCATTTAACATATGAGGAAACTCAAGCTTAAAAAAGTGACTTGCCTAAACAGCAGAGTCAGGATTTGAACACAGGTCTACGTATCTCCAGAAGCTATGTTCTTTCTTCTATTATCATGCTTAATGGTATATGAGGAAAAGGAATAATTCCAAGTAGTCACGGTACTGCAAGACCATACAGATAAATACTGGCAAATTGTATTTTATTCTAAAAAATGTTTTGATCAGATAGTTAAATGTTAAACGGGAATCATTAAAAAAAGGAAAAATATTCAAGTCATAACACTTGGAATGAAGTCATATAAATAACCACAAAAAATAGTATAATCCTTTCACTTCAAAAATAAAGATAATTACATACTTCCCTCACACTAACATGAAACTTGTCTCAAAAGTCAAACTGAGAAAATTTATAGTTTTTATTACAATATTCTGCTTGATAGTACAAGTAACTGTGTATTTCACTGTTAATCTGTGAGAAGGCAGAAATAAATTACCTGTACAGATTCACATGTAATCAAAGGTAGTTCTGACAATGCTGATTCAGAAGTCCTCTCATTTTCATTAATGATCTCATGGTCTTGCTTAGGTTGTAATTTAAGAATTTCTGGACTTTTATGTTCAACAGGTCCTTCTTCATCACTGGAAACAACAACTAAAAAGGAGAAATGTATTTTTTAAATGTGTCACAATAATCAAATATCAAAAACAGAACTCCCTAATTAATTCACTGTATCTTTTATAATCCCATTAAATTTAATAATAAAAAGAGTAACAATCTTTAGAAACTGGCTCATCATTTATTATCTGATTTATACTAGTTATATTCCAGTTTCCCAATCAGTGCTATTATTTAGCAGTTACCTGCAACCTTAGCTTCTGGAGGATGAAGGTCTTTAAAAATGGGTAAAGCCAGGAGACTTTAGGAAAAAGTTCTAATCTAACAATGTATTGTGATTATCACTGTAAACTGCATTTTAAATCGTGTTACATTAGTTGCTTCCAAGGAAGGGAAATGGATGGCTAGGAGAAGATGTGTGAGATTATTCACTGAATATCCTTAAGAATCTTTTAAACTTTCTGTACTATGTGACTGTATTAACTACTCAAAAAATTAATTAGATCAAAATTAATAATAATAATTAAATAGCATTTAAACTCTCGGTATTTTAGCTTCATCAACCAAAACGACAATGGTCCTGTTAAAAACTGCTACAGAATTCCTTTTAAGACTACTAATGAGACTGATTACAGTGTACTAATCTTAAAAAAAAAATTACCTTCTCTTCCAAGTACTCCATTTGTTTATCTAAATCATATTACAAGATTCATGAAGGAAGCCCTAAAACCCCACGATCTTTTTCCTAAAATTAATATATTCCACAGTGATGTCATAAGCAGCTTACTACTTAGCAAAATCTGTTCATGAGGAGAAAAAAATGACCAAGTAGAGAAAATTGTCTTTATAATCCTCCTATTACTTACTTGGTTCAGCTGAGATCAACGAATGGTTCCCTTCACTGTGTCCACTTAGAAGAGGCTTTTCGATTGTATTCAACTCATTCTCACCCTTTTCAACCAGGGGTGAATTCCCCACAGTATTACTGGAAGCAGGGCTCTCAAATGTTCCAGTGGTTGCACAGTCAGAGGCACTTTTGGGGGCAGCACTCAAAGCCAACTCCTGACTACTGAGCGAAGATGGTTTAGTAAAATCATTTTCTACAGGTTCAGGTGAAATTTCTTCAAGCAGTTTTGGGTCCTGATGATAGTTTTCACTTGACTTTTCAAACTCAGTGGATACTGTTGAGTCATTTTCTTGTTCTTTCTGAACATAAATAAGTATATAGAAAATAACAGTATTTTTTAAATGTGGCTTCATTAAAACAATTTTTAAGCTTTAAACTCATAAAAATGACATAAAATTTAAAATATGTCATTTCTATAACTACATAAATAGCAAACTATACAACTATACTACATTATGTTTACACTGTCTCCCAAATATAAAAATGTAGGGTTTGGTCTATTGAATCTGATGCCTAAATATTTTTATAAAGGGTGGGGTAAGGGGAATGCCTATCTTTAGAAGTGGTTCAGAGAAGAAACTCCCAAGATCTAAGTCAACTTTACAATGAGAGGATTTTTTTTACATTTTCATTTTGCAAAAGTAACAAGGCCATGTGACCAAATACCTTAGTAACAGAAACAAAAAATTTAAAACTTAAGAGGATAACAATACTAAAAACTATGAAAATCAACCATTTCCTTCAACATCTCTTAAGTTTGTAATTATGACCCAAAGGCACTTTGAGGTCCTGAACTGTCTTGTGAATCAAAGGATTAAAGCTGTATTCTTACTAGTTGTATTGTTAATTATATAATGAATCTTTGAAAATGGGTAATGTACATATTCTTTATTTACAAAAAAATCCCCTAAACTCCAGATAAACAGAAGCTTAAAGAATCTGGCAAGTAAATTACTCCGGATAAAAGGTATGTGATACTAAAAGCAGAAAGCCCATTGTCATAGGGCAACGTGTGTACTAACTGTTAAATGAGAAACTATTTTGTTCTGTAAGCCTTCATCTAAAGTGAGAACAGCAGCACAACTGGAAGAGCGTAGTCGATGTCACTGAACTGTGGATGTAGAAATTTTTGAAATGGTGTATCTCTGGCTATGTATATTTTCACCAAAAAAAAAAGGTCAAGAGTTAGAGGGTTGACATGTTGTGGGGTTGTTAACCAATGTCATAAAACAATATGTGTACTACTGTTTCATGAGAAACTATTTGTTCTGTAAGCCTTCCCCTGAATTAAAAAAAAAAAAAAAAAGCAGCTAGAAAAACATTATTTGGCCATAGTCAACTCATTTTTATCACAGCATAAATTATGTCCTATGACATCTAAATATCTCTACTTACTGTCTGTTCTGTTGACTTCTCCAGAGAACAAGCAGAATTATGAGAATCAGATAAATTACTTCTAAGCCTTTTCTTTATCTTCCTGGAAATTAGAGTGGGTTCCATTTCTGAATCAGAATATGTATCATCCTTGTTTCTGCTCCCCTCTTCAAGATGATCACAACCTCTACTTCCACTATTAAAGTCTTAAAAAACAAAAGACGCATAAATATGGCCAAAAAGTAGCAAAAGAATCCCTTTTAGAGGAGTTTGAAGAAACATCATCAAAATTGCTATATTACGTCCAAAGCTCATTAAAACATAGTCCACTGTTAAATTCTCACACTGAAACAGGATATAAAGAGTATTCTTTTGTAACCAAAGCAAAGCATGTATTTATTCCTTTTGCTATAACTGCATTTGATTGCAATATTTTTAAAAAGTCTTAATAAAATTTGGAAAATTCATGTTTTAAGAAAGTGTTGTTCGATAATTCATTGGGATTTTATAAATTAGTTCTGTCTTTTTAAAATGTAAATTGTGTGTGTGTATATATGTATATATACATATATATATTTATATTTCTTTATCTTAGTGGGACAAGTCTATGGGTGACACAAACAATTAAGCACTCCACTACTAACTGAAAGGTTGGAAGTCCAAATCCACCCAGAGGTGCCTTGGAAGAAAGGCCTGGCGATCTATTTATGAAAGATCACAGTCACTGAAAACCCTATGGAGTACAGTTCTACTCTGATACACAGGAGGTCACCATGAGTTGGAACTGACCTCATATCTGTTTTTTTTGGATCTTAGTGGAAAGGGACTATATACTGAAAAAGTAGAGTGTTGATCAATGCTCTTTAGAAAGCAGCCAAAATATCTTTCCCCAGCAGTTGACTGTAATATGTGATCATTCACAAGGTTATCAATTTGCTTCACAGTTTGTTTCTTCTTTTTTTTAATAATCAAGGCCCTGTCCTTTAAAGCCTCCAATAAGCAATCCTACAGAGAAGGAAACGCTCCCTTCTTTTAAGTCAACAAAGCATCATTTTAAAAAACATGTCAATTATTATTAAGAATGCTTAGTATATCAGTTATCAAATATAGGCTCTGTCCAAAATTACCTTTCAAACCGGTCTAAGTAACTTGTTATCCTGAATTATTTTGCCTTCTGAATCCATACCATATAAACACCACCTCAAAGTTTATACACAGCAAGTCACAAAGCAGTTTCCTTGAAATCATAACTTATAACTGATCTGACTGGCTAGAATGACTTCTCCCTCCATTGACCAAAAGTTCTTCAACCCCAAAAGTCTTCTCTTCAAACTATTCTGGCACTTACTATAGCTTCAGAGACTCCTAATAACTAGCATTTATGATAATATATCTTTGTCACTGCTCAAAAAGGCAGGCAATGGGACAGGAGTGAGGGCAAGAAGTTCGAGGCAGTCAAAAGCCTTTAATTGCCAAAGAAAATATTCTTTACTCCCTCCCCCAAGAAAATAAACTTCCCACAAATCATCAACACCATTAGTTGAAAAGCACATTAAATTTTATTTGTAAAATTGTAAATGTAAAGGAAGTCAAATACAATTGCTAAACATAAATACTGTACCAAATTACAATCTCTAACCATAAATACTATAGCAAAAAGATGGATGAACTGAAAGGGGACTGAGAAAAACTCTATTATACAGGAGTTTTCCCTCAAACAATTTACTATTTGCACATCAGCAAAGCCTGTCTCATCGGAAACAGGATAATCTTAGTATACAGAACCAGACAGTGTAAAAATAGGGTTCCACCTGCATAAATATATACAAATTTAACTTGCAAATATTACTACCATAGAAAATTAAAGAGATGACAAAATCCTGTAGGCAAAAGAATATTAAATATTTTCAATGTAATATTTTGGTAAAAGCAAATTCCACAAGGTAAACTTAATGTACTAGAAAAGAATGGTGTACCTGGGGTTTAATTCAGAATTCCCATTTACTTAATGGGTTTATGTTACACAACTGATATTCAACACTATTATCTACAGGAGAGCAAACATTATGAGCTTTAATAAAGTTTCAAGAGTGAATTTTCTTAAAAACATTTTACTGTGAAGACCTTTACGGATACTAAAAGACTACAAACCATTTCTTTTGTCATACACTTTTCACTGCTGCATCTCTAAAATTCCACTGTGACCGTTTAGGTAATACTTGAGGGCACAAATCAGAAGCTTTTTATTCAACCATTCCTACTCTGCCCAGAAAGAAGCGGAATGTAAGAGTCATACATTGTCTTGATAGTATCTGCACTGAGTGCACTTGTACAAATACTTAAATTATTATTTCGTAATTAAAGATAATTATTTCCTGGGAAAAGCACAGTTCATAAGAAAATAAGTATCTTTTTATGCAGATAGTACTTAGCAATTAAAATTTTTTCTCTAAGAGTCACAATGCTTTGTCTAAAGATTGCCGCCTTAAGAGTTTCAGCTGATTTCTTACATACGTTAAAGTTCTTAGTACAGTTTCCTTTTAACTTTTTGCTTTCTATAAAAAAATTACTAAAAAAATCTGTAAACAGTTGTGCCCAAATGAAGGCAAAGAATTTTGCATTATGTCATTAAAAGGATCTTCTTTCTTTGGAGTACTTATAAATACTTACAAAATCATTCAAAAAACAAAATACCTCCACTAGTTAAAAGCTATCATAACCTACGAGACCCCTGAACATGATAACTTCACAAATGACTACTGTACTAAATAGCTTTGGTGCAAATTCTGATAAAATATTTTATTGAAAATCTTGACAGACAGACAAAAAGGAGCAAAGAAGTCAATTCAATATAACCCTACATGCAAGGAGGCCTACAAACAATTTTCACACGTCTGGAATGTATTTACCTTTAAATTTGCCAATAGTGGCTTGTTTTGGCATCCTCTTAGAGTTGAGAGAAATTCCAATGATAAAGAATGTATTTCATAATAGGAGGATTGTTGGTGGGAAGCCAATAATAATAACCCAGTGAGCAGTAATATAGAGTTTTAGATGGACAGCACTCAGAAATAGTTAAACATTATAACTGTATAGATATATTCTCCCAACACTCACAAAAAAATACAATATTCCAATTTAACTTTTGGAACTAGTAAATAAATCAAGAAATGTGTAGTACAGTATACAAACAATAACTTTAGCAACTTTTTTCTGCTGCTAAATAATCTCCCTTTACTTTGATATATCTTTTAAATGTAAGATGAAATAAAGTTATTTCTTTTTAATTTTAAATTACTGGAAATATATTAGACAAAAATTCAAATTCCAACAGTTTTCTAAGGTTCACAAACCTTTAGGCTGAGTATCAGACATTACAAGAGAAATGCCATCATCATCTCTTTGCTTTTCTTTAGTGTGTGCAGCCTGCTTTGCAGATTTGTTATTTACTGTCGTCTTACTTGATTGTGAACCCCTGTAAAACAGAATTATACTCAATTCTTCTAGAGCCCAAATGAATTCAGAAGCTAAATGGCATATTTAAATCCAAAAGATTACAGTACATTCCCACATGGCAGAGCATATGATCTGGGCAGTGGAAAGAATATTAAACTGAGATTTGAAAAGTAATTCCTCATCCTTTTTATACCATTACATTCCCCATATGTCTTTGGGAAAAAAAACTTAGGAAATTCACACTGTAGGACTATGCACATGCAAAACGAGCAAAAGAGTAATACTACCAAATAAGTCAAAGAGGTTTAAAACATAAAATTCCATGAAAACCAAATGAGTACTTATATGTAAATCAAACAATTATAAGGCAAAACTAATTGTCAATATAGTTCAACCATGGTTCATATATGAAAAATTAAGTAAAAAATAACATTTGGAATATGGTCAAATTTTTCGCTATAGAAGAAATTTATTTTACAAGTCTTAATCTACCATACAATCCATTCACTTAACCAGAAGCATATCCACATGCAAAGGTAAAACAGAACAAAGTAGAGGGCCTCACACTTCCCTATCTCAAAACATACTACGGAGGATGTGTAGAGACTGGCACCCATAAACACTGCTGGTGGAACTGTAAAATGGTATAACCACTATGGAAAAGAGTATAGCATTTCCTCAAAAAACTAGAAATAGAACTACCTTATGATCCAGCAATCCCACTCCTTGATATATACCCTAGAGACCTAACAGAAGTGACAAGAACAGACATATGAACACCTATGTTCATTACAGCACTATTCCAAATAGCAAACAATCTAAATGCCTACCAACAGATGAATGTATAAGTAAAATGTGGTACCTATACAAAATGGAATACGATACAACCATAAAGAATAATGATGAGTAAAAACCAAAAAAAACAAACCTGTTGCTGGTGAGTAGATTTCCAACTCATAGTGACCCTACAGGACAGAGAAGAACTGCCCCATAGAGTTTCCAAGCAGCACCTGGTGGATTCAAACTGCTGACCTTTTGGTTAGCAGCCATAGCTCTTAACCACTACACCACCAGGGTTGTGGATGAATCTGGAGGACATTAATGTTGAATGAAGTAAGTCCATAATAAAAGGACAAATATTGTATGATCTCACTTTTATAAAAAGACAACAATATGTATACATACAGAAACCATCATTCACTGGTGGTTACCAGGGGTGGGTGGGTGAGAAGAGGGGGAATCACTCTTTAGATAGTAGACACTTGTTATTTTTGATGATGCAGAAGGTGATGCCAAGTGGGGTGATGTGCAAACAGGATGATCAAGGTAAATTATGTCACTAAGAAGTACACATACACAAAAAAAGGACGTTTTTGGCAAATGCTAGTACCTATATAATTTTGCAACAACCTAAAAACATGTGTGGTTACATATGTATGTATGCATGCATATGTGTCTAGGTATGTATATGTGTGTATATATACGTGTGTGTGTATGTGTGCATGCATGTATATTCCTCTATATAGTAAAGTTACGGATACTTCTTAGACATAGCCAAACACTTCATGAGATTGGTTTTCTGGGTTTGAAGCCTTAGGACCATAGTCTTGTGGGACAATTCAGTCAATTGGCATAATATAGTTCATAAAGATAATGTTCTACATCCTAGTTTGGTGAGTAGCATCTGGGGTCTTAAAAGCCTGCAAGTGGCCATCTAAAATACAACTATTGGTCTCTATCCAGAGCAAAAGAGAAAGAAAGAAACCAAAGATTCAGAGAAGAAACAAGTCTACAGGACTAACAGTCTACATGAACCACAGCATCATCTACTATGAGACCAGAAAAACTAGATGGTGCCTGGCTACCATTGATGACTATTCTGATCAGGGCCACAATACATGGATCCTGATAGAAGAGGAGAAAAATGTGAAATACAACTCAAAATTCTTAAGAAGTCCAGAATTAGTGGACCAGTAGAGACTCAAGGACTCCCTGAGACTATCGCCCTGAGATAGTCTGTAAACCTTGAATTGACACTACCCCCTGAGGTCATCTTTTAGCTAAATAACAGACTGGCTCATAAAATAAAGAATATTACCAGTGAGTACTGCGCACCTTTATAAAATCATTTATGTGAGACCAAATGGTCAACAATTACTCTAAAGCAAAGATGAGAGGCTAAGGGGACAGGGAAACCAGATTACTGGAAGCGAAACATTCAGAAGGGAACTAATAAGAATGCTAACACATTGTGAAAAATGCAACCAATGTCTCTGAATAATCTGTGTAATAATTGTTAAATGGGAACCTAATTTGCTGTGTAAACTCACTAAAAGCACAATAAAATATTATTTTAAAAAAAGAAAAGGTAGAGGGGCAGGGCCAAGATGGCGGAGTAGTCAGACGGCTTCCTATGTCCCTCTTACAACGAAGACCTGAAAAAACAAGTAATATGATTCTATATGAATATCTACAAGCCCTGAACAAGGCAAAGTTGAGAGAACTGGACTGAGTGGCGGGGGGAGAGAGAGACAGTTTGGAAGCAGCAAGGAGTTGCCTGGGACCTAACCCAGCGAGAGCCGCAGCCCTTCAGGCCGGACCGGCTTGGGGTGCGCAGTAAGGGGGGCATACAGCTACGCGCGCTTGCTCGGGAGGTAGTTTCCACATCGAGAGAGAGTCGGCAGCAGAGATTCTGCCTGGACACTCCGAACCAGTGAAAAGCAGCATCGAAGAGGCTAAAGATAAGTACATGCATGTGGCCTTTCGCGGGGATTTAAAAAAAAAAAAAAAAAAAACATTTGGGAACTACCTCTCTCCCATTTACCTCCTCCCTCCCTGATCTGCACTGGGTCTGGCTGGCTTCAGCGATCTATGAGTCCCCTGGGCCAGAAGTAGACCCCATAAGGCGCTATGACCCATTCTCCTGGCCTTGGAGGAGGAACAAATTAACAAACAGGGAAAAAATAAGCTACCGGCTCCCCTAAGCCAGGAACTCAGGGTTGCCAAAGCTCCTTTGCCTAGACACAGGCATAAGGGGTCTGCAGTCCTTCAGTGCCTTCTATCCCTGAATACACTTCTGTGCACCCATCTCAACAGCATAAGTCCTCACTACCACAGTAAAACAGGGTAAACACCTGAAGTCTAACTTCAACTGTCTCAGCTGTTAAGTGGCAGATTTGTGACGCTTGACACTGCTCTGCCCTTTAAGCAGGCGCCTTACCTGTCCGCATCAGGCTCCACTCACGCCACCTAGCCATCTGCTACAGGGGTCCAAGAATAAGTGGTGCCCCCCAGGCCTTACAGCCAATAAAGTAGGGCGCTCACAGTCTGTCTGGAAAACTCACCTACCTACTCACGCTAGGGAACAGGGACACACTTTCCTTTCAGACACTCAGGGACAGCCATCAGCGCCCTGCTTGCACAGCGCGTGACCCCCTACTGCAGCCAGATACCTGTGTCTACACCAATCACCCATGCCTCTCTAAGACTGTAGGTGAGAGCCTGCACCACACACTGGGTGACCAACTGCCTGGACACCTGAGCTGAATCCATACAAGAAAATTTAACAGTCTCCTGGGCACACATACTTAGTTACAGACCTAACCACCTGGTGACAGGATGTTAAGAGCATCAAAGCTGCCAATAATCAAACTAGGGCACATGAGCTGCCTATTTGGGCATATCAAAACAAAACAAGAAGCTAGGAAACACTGAACAAATATAAAATAAAATTATAATAACTTATTGATGGCTCGGAGACAACAGCCAATATCAAATCACATAAAGAGGCAGTCCATGATGGCTTGAACAAGCTCTCAAAATAATCAATAAATTTCTTGGAGGAACAGAATTTCTTGGAATTACCAGCGGCAGAATACAAAAGATTAATATACAGAACTCTTCAAGAAATTAGAAAGGAAATTTGACAAAACGCAGCGAATGCCAAAGAACACACAAAGTAGCAGAACTTAAAAAAGTTATTCAAGAGCATAATGACAAATTTAATAGGCTCCAAGAAATCACAGAGAGACAGCAATCAGAAATCCAGAAGACTAACAATAAAATTTCAGAACTAGACAACTCAATAGAAAGTCATAGGAGCAGAATTCAGGCAGTAGAAGTCAGAATTAGTGACACTGAAGATAAAGCACTTGGCACCAACTTTTTTGAGGAAAAATCATATAAAAGAATTAAAAAGAAGGAAGAAACTCTAAGAGTTATGTGGGACTCTACCAAGAGAAATAACCTGTGAGTGATTGGAGTACCAGAACAGGGAGG